GTTCCTAGCATAAATCAAAGTCCTTCCCCTGTCTTCCATTCAGCAGAACCCCACATAGAAAGCAGTTTGTACCTGTGGTTCCAAAACCCACTTGACTGTCAACTTCTCAGTAGCAGCTAAGTCCCTACAGCTATATCTCTCTGCCATGCGATGTAAGAGCACTGCAAACCTCCTCCCGACCTCATTTATTAAAAGACTAGTTTCTAGCCATTAATTTTACTCATTCTGTCCCCCATACTGGAGTGCAGTGGTGCATTCACAGCTCACAGCAGCCTCAGTCTCCCCAGGCCTCAGGTAATCCTTCCACCTCAGCTTCCTGAGTAGCTGGGACTACAGGCATGTGCCACCATGCCTGGCTAATTTTTTTTTTCTTTTTTTTTTTTTTGTATTTTTTTGTAGAGATGGTGTTTTGCCATGTTGCTCAGGCTGTTCTTGAACTCCTCGGTTCAAGGGATCCACCCAACTCAGCCTCCTAAAGTGCTAGTATTACAGATTGGGCCACTGTATCCAGCCTTTGTCAAATTTTTAATAAGTACAGTGGGATATTCGGAATAAAGAAGCAAATAAGGCCAGGCGCAGTGGCTCACGCCTGTAATCCTAGCACTTTGGGAGGCTCAGGCAGGCAGATCACAAGGTCAGGAGTTCTAGAACAGCTTGGCCAACATGGTGAAACCCCATCTCTACTAAAACTACAAAAATTAGCTGGGTGTGGTGGTGGGTGCCTGTAATCCCGGCTACTCGGGAGGCTGGGGCAGGAGAATCACTTGAATCTGAGGCTGCAGTGAGCTGAGGTCGCACCATTGCACTCCAGCCTAAGCAACAGGGCGAGATTCTGTCTCAAAAAAAAAAAAAAAAAAAAAGCAGCAGCAAATAAAACAAAGTCCTTGCTTTCAAAGAGCTTACATTCAAGTGGAAGGAGACAGATAAATATATGTGTGGTAGTGTTTAAGGGTGCTGAAGAAAAATGGTAAGAAGAATGCAGAGTGCCATAGTGAGTGAGGACAGAAGCACTTCCTATTGTGTATTTTCTTATTGTTTCCCCTCACTAAAAATATGCTTATGAAGGCCTGCATTTTGTCTATTTTCTCCCCTTCTCTATCGCCAGAGGTAGAACAATGCCTTTGTGTCCTAGAACAAGTGTGTGAGAGGACAAAGACTGTGATTCATCTGCCAAGTTCATAAATACTGTACAGCAATCTAGTGAGGAGTGCCTTGCCTTCTTGGTCCACCTGAAGAAATATGAACACCGTCTGTCAGGTAGCTGTAGAACAAAGTGGAAACCCGGAAGCTTCTCAATTAATTTTATAAGAGAGCAATTTGCAGCCAGAAATTAATAAAGAACTAGCTCTATCCAGGCTACACATAACATTGTAGATCTGTATTAGCTAGCTCAAGGTGCCATAACAAAGTGCCACAAACTGGGTGTCTTAAACAGAAATTTATTTTCTCAGTTCTGGAGGCTAAAGGTCCAAGATCAGCATGTCATCAAGGTTGGTTTCTGGTGAGGCTTCTCTTCCCAGCTTGTAGATGGCTACCTTCTCACTGTGTCTTCACATGGCCTTTCCTCTGTGCGTGGTGAGAAGACAGGGCAGTCTGTTCTTTTCTTTAGAGGCGTGGTCTTGCTTTGTTGTTCAGGGTGGAGTACAGTGGCTATTCACAGCTGTGACCTCATTACTAATCAGCATGGGAGGTTTTGTTTTGTTTTTTGAGATGGAGTCTTGCTCTGTTGCTCAGGCTGGAGTGCAGTGGCACCATCTCGGCTCACTGCAACCTCCACCTCCAGAGTTCAAGCAATTTCTGGCTAATTTTTGTATTTTTAGTAGAGATGGGGTTTCACTATGTTGGCCAGGCTGGTCTCGAACTCTTGACCTCAGGGGATCTGCCTGCCTCGGCCTCCCAAAGTGCTATAATTATAGGTGTGAGCCACCATGCCTAGCCTAGCATGGGAGTTTTTACCTGTTCCATTTTGGGCCTGGCCCAGTTCACCCCGCTTAGGCAACCTGGTGGCTTCCACTCCCAGAAGGTCACCATATTGATGCTGAACTAAGTGCAGACACCTGATCAGTATAGCACACCACAGCCCGGAATTTCTGGCCTCAAGCAATCCTCCCCAGTTTGCCTCCTGAGTAGCTTGCACTGCAGGCATGCACCACTGTACCAGGCTCTTTTTTTTTTTTTTTTTTTTTTGAGATGGAGTCTCACTCTGTCACCCAAGCTGGAGTGCAGTGGTGTGATCTCGGTTCATTGCAAGCTCTGCCTCCCGGGTTCACGCCATTCTCCTGCCTCAGCCTCCCAAGTAGCTGGGATACAGGTGCCCGCCACCACGCTGGGCTAATTTTGTATTTTTGGTAGAGATGGGATTTCACCGTGTTGGCCAGGATGGTCTCCATCTCCCTTGTGATCTGCCCGCCTCAGCCTCCCAAAGTGCTGGGATTACAGGCGTGAGCCACCGTCACTGGCCCAGGCTCTTCTTTTAATAAGGACACCAGTTAGATTAGGGATCCACCCTTACGACCTCATTTAACCTTAATTACCTCCTTAATGACCCTATCTCCAAATTCAGTCACATTGAGGTTAGGGTTTAGGGATTCAACATATGAATTTTGTGGGTGATGTTATAGAACCATCAGGTTCTATTAACCACTACATGGTACCAGACCAATACATGGAAACAGCAGGAGTTGCAGCAGAGAAATAGTTTAATAATGGTATGGCAGCCAAGGGAGAAGATGGGAGGGAACCTCAAATCACCTCCCCCCGTAAGTTTTGGACAGGGGTTTTTAAGGAAATGTTGGTAGGTAGGGGGCTGAGGAGCTAGGGGTTGCTGATTGGTTAGGGCATGGGGGATGTAATCATAAGAAGGTAGAAAGTGTATTCTTGTGCTGAGTTCGTTTCTTAGAAGGGGTCTTCAAACGGAGTAGCATCAGTGACCCCACTGATATGGTTCCAATGACTGGAGGAGTCCTTTGTCTCATGCTGGTTTAAATAAAATGATACAGACAAAAGTGGAGTGGTTTTAAGGAATGGAGAATTTAATATGCAAGAAATAAGAGGCTCCCTCATACACAGCCAGAGGGAAGAGGGCTCCAAGCCAAAAGAGGGAATCCCCGGTGCAGCAGGCAACAGCCAATTATGAGGCTGGAGGAGGTGGTGACAAATCTGCATATGACCCAGGGAATTGGTTTGACCAGGTATGTCATTCACATAGCCTGCAAAAAAAGTGGCCCTCCCACCCTAGTCTTTTAATATGCAAATGCAGGGTGCCATGATGTTCTACACATGTGGGGGTATGTGGGGATGGTCATATTGCTAGGCACGTGGGGACAAGAAGAAGAGGGGAATCGCCATACTGAGTAAACCAAGTTTCTAATGGTCTGCATTTGCATATCAAAGCTTGCCAGCCCAGCTTTCTTGCTAGACAAGGAACATTTCTGGAGCTGCTTTAAAAGGAAAAAAACTTTCCAAAGACCGCTTTTCCTCTCTATCTATCTAAAATAATTTCTTAACTCCTATAACACCATTGGAGTACAGAATCTGGGAAATATCTCAAAATGGGAAACTTGAGATTTCTTAACTGAGTCAAAGATACTATCTATAAAGCAATAAGCAGCTATAAGGAAGTGGGCTATAGGAAAAGTTTGTTAATGTTTAGCTATGCTTCTACTCAAAACTTATCTTTTGTTAAAAATCTCGCGATTTGGCAGGGCACGGTTGCTCACACCTGTAATCCCAGCACTTTGGGAGGCTGAGGAGGGTGGATCACCTGAGGTCGGGAGTTTGAGACCAGCCTGACCAACATGGAGAAACCCTGTCTCTACTAAAAATACAAACTTAGCCTGCCGTGGTGGCGCATGGCTGTAGTCCCAGCTACTTAGGAGGCTGAGGCAGGAGAATCGCTTGAACACGGGAGGCGGAGGTTACTGTGAGCTGGGATCGTGCATTGTACTCCAGCCTGGGCAATAAGAGTGAAACTCAGTCTCAAAAAAAAAAAATTCTAGCAATTTAGTTTTATTAAAATTATGAGGATGGTTTCAGGGACACAATTCATAACAGGTTTATAAATGTAACATGTTATTAATTTTATGTATTTTTCCCATCTGTGAACACAACACTCTCAATCCTTTCAGATATGACTCTTAATGAGTGTGATACTTAATGGAACCCCTGGGAACACACTGGGCTCAGTCCCAGCATTTACCTTAGAAGACCAATTTAAGAGTGGGGCCTGGGGGAAGACAGTTTTCCTAGGGCTGGAAGTATTCCTAGTTATTAACCCTAGGCTGGTTTGTTTTAGGCACTTAAGTAGTTGCTGAATGACTGAGACAAATAGGAGACAAAGTGAAGGGAAGCTTCTTTAGTTGCTTCTTACCCCAGGGAAAGGCACAGAATTACTACCACCCAGCTAGTTTTGCCCCAGGCTCTACGTTTTTCCCTCAGTGGCTAAAGGCCCCTGCTGAAATGGCAAAGACCTTGGTTCACTTTTTAAGTGTTCTAGCTCCCTTTCCTCAAAATCTGCCTTCTGTTTAGATTACATCCACCCATAAAATCTCATAAAGCTTTGACCCATTTTCAATTTTAAAAATGAACTCAAGCTCTTTACTTGTCCATGTTAGACTCTACGCAAGAAATACATAATTTGCCCAGGTAATGACGAAAAGGAGATGCAACAACTTTTCCCTAGGTTCTCTTTATTGTTACAGCGTTGTTAATATCTTAAGATTTGGAGGTAGACGGAAATGGAGAATCAACAACTATACTTCAACCTTACTGTAAACTGACAAACACTAACACTAAAAAGTTTCGAAGGTAAAACGACATAAGTTCCACCTTCTATGCTTTGTGGAGGTATAAAAACAAAACAAAACAAAAAAACTGTCTAGACAGGCTACCCGCTACACACTCCAACCGACCTCAGCGACCGGAGGAGGAAGCGCAACTGGTTCTAGCAACCCCTCCGCCACCCTGGCCCATAACGCTTCACCACGTTCTGTGTCACGGACGGAAGTGACGCATAACCTGCGACGCCAGTGCCTGCCGCCCACTGCCGCGGGAGTCGGGTTTCGGTCACACCAGGCAGCGGACTTTCCTCCGATGGTTGCAGCAGAGGGACCATGACGGGGAAAAAGTCCTCCCGGGAGAAACGGCGCAAACGTAGCAGTCAGGAGGCGGCTGCGGCGCTCGCGGCCCCGGACATCGTACCCGCCTTGGCCAGCGGCGGCAGTGGAAGCACTAGCGGCTGCGGGAGCGTCGGGGGCTGCGGGAGCGTCAGCTGCTGTGGGAACGCCAGCTTTAGTGGAAGTGTCACCGGCGGTGGGAGCGGCGGCAGCTGCTGGGGCGGGAGCAGCGTGGAGCGTAGTGAGCGCCGGAAGCGGAGGAGTACCGACTCTTCCAGCGTCTCGGGCTCCCTGCAGCAGGTGCGTGCGCGCCCCTCTGGCCGCTTCCCGGAGCTGCTGCTTTTTCGGAAGAAGTCGGGCTACCAGAGGGATGGGGCGCCGGCTGGAGCTCACTGCTAGCGCGGCGATCCCAAGGTCGTCCGTGCTTGAGGTTCATGTTCCTACCTAAGTCCTGGTGAGCCCCACACTCCCATCCGTGTCTTAAATCTTGAACGTCAAGTTTCTGGATTTCCTGATCATCTCTTTTTTTTTTTTTTTTAATACTCTTGGCTCCTTCCACTCCTATGGTTTCAGTCTCCCAGAAGAATATGAGTTGGAAGCTAGCCTTCATTTCCCTTGCAAGCCAAACAGTTCTCCCTTCGTGTTCATCTTTTCATAGATGTGGTTAACTCCACATTACTGATGAGAAAATTGAGGCCCAAGGAAGTTAAGAAACTTTACCCACAGTCACAGAGTTTGTTAATAGCTCCTAGGTTTGAATCCAAATATCTGACTACAAAGGCCATGTTCTTTATACGCCACCAATCTACCAAGAGAACGCCGTTTAAAAAAAAGTTCGTAATTTGTTTCAAAACAATGTAATTTAAATTCATTCAATGCAGAAATAAAGGGAAAGCGTTAAGTCCTTCTTGCCCCTCCATTAATATTTTGATACGCGGCCTCTTTTAATCACTCCTCGTCAGATATGTGTATTTAAGTTGCTACATTTAAGCTGTGTTGTGTTATTCCCGCTGTTGAGTACCTGCGTTGTTGTGATAGGCTTCTTTATATACGTGGTTTGTTATTTTTAGTGACTGCCTGGTATTTTATTATTTTTTTTGGTATTTAGGTTTGCAGGGTTTTTTTGTATTGTGACTACGAACACCTTTATGTATATATCTTATACAAGAGTTATGTTGGGAGAGAGTGTCAGCACTGAAATTCCTGGGTCAAAGTTTGTGCTGTTAAAAACTTGGTGAATGCCGCCAAATGCTTTCCAAATGAGACTTTACAGATTTATAGTGCAAACAGTACATATATAAGAATACCTATTTCTGAAATTCTTAACTAGCTTTTGATAACCATTTTTTTAAAAAAATGCCAGACTAATGGGTCAAATTAATATTGTGTTTGTTTTAATTTTTATTTTCCTGATTAGTGAGATTGAACATTTTAATATTTTTATTTGCCATTTGATTCCTTCTCGTGTAATTTTCTGTACATATCCTCTGCTCATTTTTCTCTTTCGTAGAGTACAGTTTCTCTTTATGTAGAGATTTTATCAGGTGGTTTTCTGGTATTCTGTTGAGATGATCACGTACTTTTTCTCCTTTAATCAGATACTGTAATTTATTGATAAGTTAGTTGATGTTGAACAGTCTTTGGAGTCTTGGGACAAGTTCTGTTTGGTTTGTTGTACTTGGCTGGAAATCAGTGTTTTTACTTTTATGTATGTGTTTCTAAATTAGATCAGTCTGTAGTTTTTATTTTTGTAATGGATTGAATTAGGAAGCTTTGTGTTTTTTTGGTGTGTTCTAGAATGGTTTATATTTTCTTCTCAAATATTTGTCAGAAGTATCTGGGTCTAGTGGAGATTTTTAGGGTGATTTTTTAAAACACTCTTTAAAAAATTATTTAATATAGATCTATTCAGTTTTCCCACCCCTTCTAGATTCAGTGTTGCATATCACCATTCTTATTTTAAATAGTTTCCTTTTTTTTTTTTGAGATGGAGTCTCACTGTGTCGCCCAGGCTGGAGTGCAGTGAGAGGCACCATCTCAGCCCACTGCAACCTCTGCCTCCCGGGTTCAGGTAATTCTCCTGGCTTAGCCTCCTGAGTAGCTGGGATTACAGGTACCCGCCACCATGGCCAGCTAATTTTTGTATTTTTAACAGAGGTGGGGTTTCACCATGTTGGCCAGGCTGGTCTCGAACTCCTGACCTCAGGTGATCCACCCATCTCAGCCTTCCAGAGTGCTGGGATTACAGGCGTGAGCCACTGCGCCTGGCCAGTTTCCCTAGTTCTAACACTCCGTTGTAATGGGGAGACCAACAACATTGGTCAGTTGAATATTGAAAACATTTGCGTACAGAACTAAACCCATCTTCTAATGAAAAATTAATGTATTTTTGAAGAAAAGGTCATTGCATATTAGGCTTGTAGATAACATTTCAAACTTTAGAGAGTGCCATTATATCTGTTGTGTATTGAGTTCCTTATTTTATTTTTTTAATTTTTGTTTTTATTTTTATTTTTTGAGACGGAGTCTTGCTCTGTCGCCCAGGCTGGAGTGCAGTGGCGCTCTCAGCTCACTGTAAGCGCCGCCTCTCCGGTTCACGCCATTCTCCTGCCTCAGCCTCCCGAGTAGCTAGGACTACAGGCGCCCGCCACCGCGCCCAGCTAATGTTTTTGTATTTTTAGTGGAGATGGGGTTTCACCGTATTAGCTAGGATGGTCTAGATCTCCTGACCTGGTGATCTGCCCGCTTCGGCCTCTCAAAGTGCTGGGATTACAGGCATGAGCCACCTTGCCCCGCTGAGTTCTCTATTTTTGGGGGAAGAACTTTATTGAAATATAGTTGACATACCATACAATTCACCCATTTCACATGTACAGTTAAGTGATTTTGCATATATTCATAGAGTTGTACAACCATCACTACAGTCAATTTTTTTGTTTTTGTTTTTGTTTTTTTGAGATAGAGTTTCCCTCTTGTTTCCCAGGCTGGAGTGCAGTGGTGCCATCTCGGCTCACTGCAGTCTCAGACTGCTGGGTTCAAGCAGTTCTCCTGCCTCAGCCTCCCAAGTGGCTGGGATTACAGGCACCCGCCACCTGCCCGGCTAATTTTTCTGTTTTTATTAGAGACGGGGTTTCACTATGTTGGCCAGGCTGGTCTTGAACTCCTGACCTCAGGTGATCTGCTCACCTCGGCCTCCCAAAGTGCTGGGATTACAGGCTGAGTCACTGTGCCCTGCCTAGTCAGATTTAAAATATTTTCATCACTCCAGAAAGCAACCTTATGTGTAACTTTTAGCTTATATAATATGTGGTGTTTTGTGTCTGGCATCTTTTACTTAGCATAATGTTTTCAAGATTCATCCATGTTATAGCACATAGGGTTCATTCCTTTGTATCACAGATTCATGCCTTTTTATGGCTACTATATCACATTTTGTTTTGTTTTTGTATAGCTGTACATATGTACCACATATGTGTAGGTACCGCTATACAACATGTCATTATTCCATTTATCACTTGATGGACATTTGTGTTGTTTCTGCTTTTTGGCTATTATGAGTCATGCTGTTAAGAACAAGTAAGTTTTTGTGTAGACATATCATTACATTTCTCTTGGGTATATATCTAGGAATGAAAATGCTGGGTCATACGGTAACTTTTTGAGGTACTGCCAAATTAGCTTCCAAAGTAGCTGCACAATTTTATGTTCCTGCTAACAGTGTATGAGGATTCCAGTTTCTCTACATTATTTCATTGTAAGCTGTTAGAACAAGTGCTGATTCTTTTACTTTTTCAGTCTAATTATCATAGTGTTCTTTAAAATTGACCTATTTTAAAACTGCTTTGTAAACAACTATCTGACCTCTGTGGTCAGGGAAGATTTTCCAGAGGAGGTGACTGTTGAATTGTCCGAAGTATCTGAATTTGTTAATCTTGTGAATATAGTGTGATAGAGAAAGGAAAGAGGAAAGACTGTCATAGGAAAATGGTACGCCAAAGCCCTGCCTGTATGAGCTGAAGGAAGGAGAATAGGTTACAGTCGAGTAATTCAAAGAAGATTGTGTTCTAAACACAAAGAATGAGCATGAAGGTCAGGTAGGCCATATTACCTTAAGAGCAATGGGAATTCGTTGAAGGGTTTGAAACAAGAAGGATGAGTACATATATACATTTTATAAAATCCATTCTGCTAACAGTGTCCAAAACAAAGAGACCTCAGATTAGATGCAGGGAGTCCCATTCAATGGCTATTGGTATAACCTAGGCAAAAAATTTTGGTAGTTTGGAACAAAACTACGGCAGTAGATTTGAAGAGACTGGATAGAGTAGGGAGACAGAAAGTAAAATGGACAGAAATATCTTAAATTACTGAAATTACTTGGTTACTTTGATTATGATTATGTAAGTTTTAAAAATGATGATAGCTCCTGGTAAGTATGTTACTTTTCTGTATATTTGTGATTTGTGACATTTTTACTTTAATTTATTTATATGAATTTAAGTACAATGATTATGCATACATAGAGCTTTTGGGTGAATGGCCTTTTAGGGGAAAATCCTAATTCTTCAAAAGTCTAAAACTTTAAAAAATTATTCAATATTTAGTATACTTTTGTTTGTGTATCCTAAGTATCTCTTCCCTTTATAGCTACTCCTTGAGTTAATTGCAGTATGGAGAGGAAAATCAAAGAATATTAAACAAATATTCTCTCCTATGGTTTTAGAGAAATGTGCAAAGAATTTGGGAATTTTTGATGAAGAAGAATTTATTAAATGAAAATGTATGATGTCATGTACATATTCTTTATATTTTAAATAGTATTGTTTAATGGTTCTTTATTCTTTTAACTTTAGGAAACCAAATATATTTTGCCAACTTTGGAAAAAGAATTATTCTTGGCAGAGCACAGTGACCTTGAAGAAGGTGGACTGGACCTGACTGTGTCATTGAAACCAGTTAGTTTCTATATATCAGACAAAAAAGAAATGCTTCAGCAGTGCTTCTGTATTATAGGAGAGAAGAAGTTACAGAAGATGCTTCCTGATGTGTTAAAGGTACTTCATTACACATCACACTAGATACATACATAGAAATACAACGTTCTTTGTCACAATTGTTTGTTTTACTTAATGCGTTTTTTTGTTTGTTTTTTTTGAGACAGAGTCTTGCTCTGTCGCCCAGGCTGGAGTGCAGTGGCGTGATCTCGGCCCACTGTAATCTCTGCCTCCCGGGTTCAAGCAATTCTCTTGCCTCAGCCTCCTGAGTAGCTGGGATTACAGGCACGCACCACCACGCCCAGCTAATTTTTGGATTTTTAATGGAGACAGGGTTTCACCATGTTGGCCAGGCTGGTCTTGAACTCCTGACCTCGTGATCCTCCCACCTTAGCCTCCCAAAGTGTTGGGATTACAGGTGTGAGCCACCGTACCTGGCCTTAATGCAGTTTTTAATTGGATGTTTGCATCTAAAACAAGCTACTTGAAAAGATTTTGTAAAATAAACAACCATAAACAGCCTTGTATATTTAAAAATTTGCCAAGATAAAATGTTTAGGCAAGAAATTTATTGACCCTGTGGAGATAATTCTGTTAAATGCAGGGAATGATGGTAACTAAATTGGACATATAATATTTCTGGTGCTTTAAGAAATAATGTCACAATATGCTGCTGTGTAACAACAAACAGTAATGGTTAATAATAGTTTATATTTCATTAGATTCACAAGTATTTTTGATTATTTTTGAAAATTATTTAGGGAAATATTTGTTGTTCTAGTTTTACAATTGTAGAAATTGACCTTGGACACTCAAGCCCGAGATCATGTATCTAAAGATACAAGACTTTAATATTTTAAACCTTTAGAATAATTACTTAACATAAATAGATTGCTTAAGAATAGCTGGGAAACTGTCTCACTCTTTAGTTTGTTCTTTGATAATAAATACAGCTTTATGCATTCCCATCGAATCTACAGTGTTCACATATTAACTGGCAGTTTTTCAGATTTCATCCCAGGAGAAGGTGTGAATCTACTTGAGGCTTTAATTTATTTTATTGTAAGATTTTGCTAACTTAAATTTTTATGATTGAAATTTTCCAGTTTACATTGGGGCTGTGTTACATAAATGCATTTTTTAAAATGTCATTTCCTTTAGAACTGTTCAATAGAAGAAATTAAAAAACTATGCCAGGAACAGTTAGAGCTCCTGTCTGAAAAAAAAATTTTGAAGATTCTTGAGGGTAAGAATACATATTTTTACATTCTGGCAACTTATTAATTAATACTATATTCAGCATAAATCCTGAGGTATTCTTTCTCCTACTTGGATATTTAATTTCGTTATTGGGTTATCATTGAAGAGTATTTTTACTTCTATTTGTACTAAAAAATATAGTTTACATATCAGAAAAGCATTTCAAGAATAGACAATATATCATTTTTCCAAATAAAGTATATATAGGTAAGAGTATAATAAAATGAAATTTAAAAAAGTACCAAAAATCTGTAAAAAAATTAATTATTGGAAAAGCAAAGAATTTCCCTTAAAATCTTTTTAATTTTCTGCTTTAGATTTTTTATAGTGTTTAGTTACTTATTGCATACTGTTTACTCTCTAGTGAGACCCAGAGAGTTAGAATACTTCCATGCAATTTACCAATATTTGTTTGTCTGCCTGTAGTATGACTACTCTTTGTGGTACTCACACCTCTAGAATTTTGGATTCTCAGGCATGTTTTTTTTCCTTTTGGAACTTTGCAAGGATTTTAGCTTTAACATGACAGAAGAAGAAACAAAAATTGGAGCCTTTTAGTTTCCAGAGAGATTGCTTCATTTTTAAATGTAAAATTGATGGCATTTTGTAACTCTGGAAATAGATACATATTTATGTATGTAGTGTGTAAGTGTATATACACATTTTCTTGTCTGTATACATTTATATAATAGGTAAAAAGAAGGCAATGAGCCCGGGCGCGATGGCTTACGCCTGTAATCCCAGCACTTTGGGAGGCTGAGGCGGGCGGATCACAAGGTCAGGAGTTTGAGACCAGCCTGGCCAACATAGTGAAACCCCGTCTCTACTAAAAATATAAAAATTAGCCGGGCGTGGTGGCGGGCGCCTGTAGTCCCAGCTACTCGGGAGGCTGAGGCAGGAGAATTGCTTGAACCCAGGAGGTGGAATTCGCAGTGAGCCGAGGTCGCGCCGCTGCACACCAACCCTGGTGACAGTGCAAGACTCTGTCTTAAAAAACAAAACAAAAAAAAAAGATGTCAATGAGAAATACCTAAGGCATTGAAAAAATTATTTTAAATACAAGCAATTAAAAATTTAAATTTTGACCCAGTATAAAGTTCTTTAATGCATAACTTTTAAAGATTATACTTTTTAATGTAATGATTACATCATTTTAACGTTTTTATAAGTGTGCTTTCAATAGTTTCTTTCATTTATAAGGTGACAATGGAATGGATTCTGATATGGAAGAGGAAGCAGATGATGGTTCTAAGATGGGATGTGATTTAGTCAGTCAGTAAGTTTAAAAACTTTCATTTTTATTTCAAAATGTCTTTGTTATTCCTTTGGTGATATCTTATGTCAAAGCTGTGATTGTTTTTCTGTGTTTTATTTATAAAATCATTCAGTGGTATAGAAAGATTTATTTGTCTACTTGTAATGATTGGTCCTTTTGGTATATATATGAGGATGGAGTGAACTACTTTCAGGATTAAGATGGTTTTTAAAAACTACTCCACATAGATATAGAACAATAGCAGTGCCAACCTAAAGCAGAATCACTCTTACTTGGATTTTGAATATACTCTTCATGATCCTCACTATTTATTAAGCACTTACTCTACCAGGTACTATATTAAACAGCATAGAACACTTGATCTCATGAAATTCATCTATGTATCTATTAATATTAGTCAATAATAGCCTCATTTCACAGATGAGATAGTTATGTTCATGTAAGTCTACATATTTTACCTATAAATATGTATTATTTGATTATTGGGATGATTAAAAAAATACCCATTTTGGGGTGCTGACTAATCAAGAAGCTACATGCTAATTATTAGTTTTTTCTTCATTAGTGCACATCAAACTTTCATCTTTTAATTTGAGCATCTATTGATGCTATTTGCTTAAAATAATTATTTTGGTAGTTTCCAAAGAATGACTTGTTCTTTGCAAAGCTTAGCATTTTTCCTGAAGAATATAAAAGACTTGTGCTAGATCAGAAAAAGATAAAGTATAAAAGAAAAATAAATACTTGTGTCACAGGCAGTAATACACATAAGAAGAGGTTACCAGGGGCAGTAGCATAGAGAAGTACATAGTTAACCAGAAATGCAGAATTTTTTTCATTTCTAAAAGAATGCTATTGGGTAGGAGTATTATAGGGTAATTTATATGAAAACATAGAGTAAGCCGGACATGGTGGCTCACGCCTATAATCCCAGCACTTTGGGAGGCTGAGGCAGGCAAATCACTTGAGGTCGGGAGTTGAAGACCAGCTTGGCCAAGATGGTGAAACCCCGTCTCTAATAAAATACAAAAAAATTAGCTGGGCATGGTGGCACGCGCCTGTAATCCCAGCTACTCTGGAGGCTGAGGCAGAGAATTGCTTAAAAACCTGGAAGGGCGGAGGTTGCAGTGAGCTGAGATCGTGCCACTGCACTCCAGCCTGGGCGACAGAGCGAGACTCCGTCTCAAAAAAAAAAAAAAAAAAAAAAGAAAACATAGAGTAGAAAGTGTACACATTTTTAACATCTTACTGTTGGCGTTCCTACAAAATACTTAGCTTTAAATCATTTATATAGTATACTAATTTAGTTCAGCTAGTTTAAGCATTTACAAGGCCTGTTAACTTTTTAATATTTTAAAGTTCCTTAAATTATCTAAATTAATCACTTTGTTTGTTTTTAAAAAAATTTCTTTCCCCCAATCCCCACATTGATCAACATTTTGTTTCTTGATGCTACTTATAGAGAATCCTAAATTGAGCTTCTGCTTGATTATATTTATTTTCCCTCTTTAAAAATCTATTATTTTTTTCCAGTTTTTGAGGTGCCATTAGGCTTAAGTGCTTTACTTCTTCATACCTGGGCATTAGTGTTATGTTTTCAACTGTTAGAAGCCATTTAATGGTGTATTAGTTTGTTTTCATGTTGCTGATAAAGACATACCCAAGACGGGGTAATATATAAAGAAAAAGATTTAATGGACTCATAGTTCCACATGGCTGGGGATGCCTCATAATCATGGTGGAAGGTGAAAGGTGCTTCATACATGGTGGCGGCAAGAGAGAATGAGGGAACCACTGTGAAAGATCTGATGGTTGTAAAACCACCCCCATGATTCAATTATCTCCCACTGGTTCCCTTCCACAACATGTAAGAATTTTGGGAGCTATAATTCCAGATGAGATTTGGGTGGAGACACAGCCAAACCATATAATTCTGCCCCGGCCCCTCCCAGATCTCGTGTCCTCACATTTGAAAACCAATCATGCCTTTCCAACATTCCCCCAAAGTCTTAACTCATTTCAGCATTAACTCAAAAGTCTACAGTCCAAAGGCTCATCTGAAACAAGGCAAGTCCCTTCCGCCTATGAGCCTGTAAAATCAAAAGCAAGTTAGTTACTTCCTAAATATAATGGGGATACAGGCATTGGGTAAATACACCCTTTCCAAATGGGATAAATTGGCCAAATTGAAGGGGCTACAGGCCCCATGCAAGTCTGAAATCCAGCAAGACAGTCAAATCTTAAAAGCTCCAAAATGATCTCTTTTGACTACATGTCTCATATCCAGGTCACACTGATGCAAATGGTAGGTTTCCATGGTCTTGGGAAGCTACGCCCTTGTGGCTTTGCAGGGTACGGGCTACCTCCTAACTGCTTTCACATGCTGATGTTGAGTGTCTGAGGTTTTTCCAGGTGCACAGTGCAGGTTGTCAGTGAATATACCATCCCGGGATTTGGAGGATGGTGGCCCTCTTCTCCCAGCTCCACTAGGCAGTGCCCCAATGAGGACTCTGTGTAAGGCTTCAACCCCACATTTCCCTTCTGCACTGCCCTAGCAGAGGTTCTCTATAAGAGCCCTGCCCCTGCAGCTAACTTCTGCCTGGACATCTAGGTGTTTCCATACATCCTCTGAAATCTATATGGAGGTTCCCAAACCTCCTGCAGGTGCACATTTCTTGACTTCTGTGCACCTGCAGGCTCAACACCACATGGAAGCTGCCAAGGCTTGGGGCTTGCGCCCTCTGAAGCACCAAGTCCCCAAGCCTGGCCCATGAAACTATTTTTCCCTCCTAAGCCTCCAGGCCTGTGATGGGAGGGGCTACTGTGAAGACCTCTGACATTTTCCTCATTGTCTTGACGATTAACACTCTGCTGCTTGTTATTTATGCAAATTTCTGCAGCCGGCTTGATTTTCTCCTCTGAAAATGGGTTTGTCTTTGGCTTTGGAGGCTGCAAATTTTCTGAACTTTTATGCTCTGTTTCCCTTTTAAAACCAAATGCTTTTAATAACACCCACATACGTCTTGAATACTTTGCTGCTTAGAAATTTCTTCCACTGGATACCCTAAATCATCTCCCTCAAGTTCAAAGTTCCACAAATCTCTAGCTCAAGGACAAAATGCTGCCAGTCTGCTAAAATATAGCAAGAGTCACCTTTACCCCAGCTCCCAACAAGTTTCTCATCTCCATCTGAAACCACCACACCCTGGATTTCCTTGTCCGTATCATTATCGGCATTTGGTCAAAGCCATTCAACAAGTCTCTAGGAAGTTCCAGACTTTCCCACATTTTCCGGTCTTCTGGCCCTCCAAACTGTTCTAACCTCTGCCTGTTACCCAGTTCCACATTTTTGTGTATCTGTAAAGCAGTACCCCACTCTTCTGGTACCAATTTACTGTATTAGTCTGTTTTCACACTGCTAATAAAGACATACCTGAGACTGGTTAATTCATAAGGAAAAAGAGGTTTACTGGGCTCACAGTTCCATATGGCTGGGGAGGCCTCACAGTCATGGTGGAAGGCAAAAGGCACTTCTTATATGGCGGCAGCAAGAGAGAATGAGGGAACCAAGTGAAAGGGGTTTCCCCTTATAAAACCATCAGATCTTGTGAGACTTACTCACTACCACCAGAACAGTATGGGAGAAACTGCCCCCATGATTCAGTTGTCTCCCATTAGTTTCCTCCTACAATATGTGGGAATTACGGGAACTACAATTCAAGATAAAACTTGGGTGAGGACATAGCCAAACTATACCAAGTGGAGATAGCCAATTATAGTAGCTATTTAACTTTTTTAAACGATTACAGCAATGGCTGTGCATGGTGGTTCACACCTGTGATCCCAGCACTTTGTGAGAACAGGTTGAGAGGATCACTTGAGGCTAGGAGTTTGAGACCAGCCTGGGCAACATAGTGAGACCCTGTCTCTACAAAAAATTAAATTAGATGGGGTCTTGCTATGTTACCCAGGTTGATGTTGAACTCCTGGCCTCAAGCTGTCTTCCCACCTCAGCATCCCAAAGCATGGGTGACTCCATTTTGATTTTTAGTCAAGGTTTTTTCTAAAGTTATGGAATAGGATTTAAGGTTTAAAGATGACAGAGAGGGCTTGGCACACTTGCTTATGCCTGTAATCCCAGCACTTTGGGAGACCAAGGTGGGTGGATGACTTGAGGTCAGGAGTTTGAGACCAGCCTGGCCAACGTGATGAAACCCGGTCTCCACTAAAAATACAAAAATTAGCCAGGCCTGGTGATGCACGCCTGTAATCCCAGCTACTTGGTAGGCTGAGGCAGGAGAGTCACTTGAACCCGGGAAATGGAGACTGCAGAGAGCCAAGATCCCCCCCACTGCACTCCTGGGTGACAGAGCAAAACTCCCATCTCAAAAATAAAGAAAGATGACAGGTTTTCACAACTTCTCCTGTTCTGCTGACCCACTGAGACTCTACAAGGCTGGTGCCGTCTCTAGCTTACTGAACTCTAGGTGAAGGAAAAGGGGACTAAGTAAGGAGGTTGCTATATGGTGGCTCCTACAAAGCAGACTGCACATTAACTGGTGGCAAAGCACCCAGGAAGCAACTGACTGCAAAGCCTGCATACGAGAGTGCACCCTCTCCTGGAGTGGTGAAGAAACCTCATTGTTACAGGCCTGGTACTATGGCCCTCCATGAAATCAGTTGTTTCTGGAAGTCCGCTGAACTTCTGAATCACAAACTTCCCTTCCACAGTCTGGCTTGAGAAATTGCTCAGGACTTCAAATCAGACCAGTGTTTGCAGAGCACAACAGCTATTGGTGCTTTGCAGGAGGCAAGTGAGGCCTATCTGGTTGACCTTTTTGAAGACACCAACCTGTGTGCTATCCATGCCAAATGTATAACAATTATGCCAAAAGATACCCAGTCAGCATGGAGAACGTCCTTTTAAGAAGCCACTGTGATGGGAAACATTTCATTCTCTAAAAGAGAAACCCCCCACAATTTTTTTCCTGTTATTGGTA